CGAATTTGGCTTGACTCGCAAATCATCGAGTCAAAAAAAACACCAACTCGACTTGATTTGAACTCGACTCGGCTTATTTGACTCGTGAGTTAACTCGACTCGTCCGGAACTCTATCCTCAGGTATGTTAGGATATTTTTCTATATCTTCTTGCTGTAAGCATAAATGTCCATTAATTTCAGTTAGAAATTCACTAACCATTATTGATCTTCCATTTCCTTTCTTTCGTAATAACATTTTTTCATCTTTGGTCCACACTCCACGTTTACCATCGTTTGAATAAAATATACTTTCATCATGAATTACAAGAACTCTTTCTTTTTTTCCTTCTGGTAAGTTAGGACGTATTCAGTCCATAAATTCACCATCATATTTTAACATGTATTTTTCATGCCCAAACATTTTTTCTAAAAATTCTTTTCTATACTGTAAAACATTGGGTCTTTCATGCCCATTATGATATATACCTTGATGATGCTGTTGAAATGAATATCCAAGAATCTTAAGCTACCTTACTGCAGTCATTAAGCTAATAGTCTTTTTTTTTATTATTCTGATATTAGGAAGCAATTCCTGTTCAATGAATTGTTTAAACATAGCTGGCATGGCGGTGAAATTTTGGTTTCTAATCCAGTTATAACACTTCTCAGCAATGTCTTCATCATCTATAATTCTAATTGTTTTCTGATGTTTTCCATGTCTTGGTATTGGAAGCTTATTATTAAATAACCAATATCTTGTAAAATGCCGAATTTTTTTTGCTTTCCATGCACCACCATCAATAAAAACCTTTTGGGCAACTTCTAAACTGGCATTGATTCTTTTACGTCTATTATTATCATTTAATAAGGTAAGGTATTCAAAAATTGCTCTTTTGTAATTATACTCAAAAATTGTTAATTGATCATGATGCTTTTCTAACTGCTTTTTTAATTCTTGTAATTTTTCATTTATTCGATAGGTGTATGGATCAATAACTTCACTTTCAGAATCACTTGAAGCATTTATTTCGATAGGTTCAGATGATTGTGAATCTGTAGCTTGAGTATCATTTTTCATAAAAAAGCTAGTAATTTTTTTAGTACCGGCTGCTGCTTTGGTGAATGAACCATTTGGTCCATATTTATCATAATGGATCGACTTTGGTGTCTTGCCTATCTTATATAGTTTTCGCTTTGTTTTTTCTAATTCATTATCATTTTTCCATACTAAATCAAGTCCTTTTAATTTTTGATAGATTTTATCTTCATCTTCCTTATTTTCCAGATCATCCCATCCACTATCATCATCATCACCCCACTCCTCTTCACTTAAGAACTCAAAATCAATACATTGACCATCATCGAAGGAACCAAATGAATTAGTATTATAAACCGTAGTAACTGCGCCATTTACGTCACACTAATAATAATCATTTTTATTGTAAATTTTTTTTCATAATTATTATCAATCGGCATCGAAGATGCGGATAAATTCTGGTTATATTTACGAGCTCTTTTAGTATATTTACCATCTGCTGTATGCGATTGGTCTTTTGATTTTCTTTTCTGTCTAGAAAGAGGTGACATTTTTTTTTAAAACAATAGACAAAATAAAAAATCAAAAATTTGTTTAAACGAATATTCTAAAGGTAAACCGTGATACGCGAATGTATGTAAATATAATTATTTAAAAGTTTTATGAGTAAAAGTTTAACACAAAATATGAACAACAATTAATGTAATCACGTGAAAAAATCTCACATTTTTATTGGTCAAATGATAAATAAACCCCTGTAAAACCCCTGTAAAATCAGTCTGAATTTGGCTAATTACTAATAATTTATCTCATTTTTAAATCCCGATAACTTTTTAAATAATTAAGCTAATCAAAATGTAAGCTGATTTTTTAAAAGAACATAACCTAAACTATATAAAAATCAGTTTAATTTTTTAATAACATATAAATTGAAAAACTAGATAAATTTAGAATCTAGGCTAAAATTTGGATGCCTTTAGATATTATGCACCATATTGATTTTGAAATAATACTTTAATTTTAATTTGAGAATAACAATTTTGAGCTCACAATTTTAACATTTAAGCCTTTTATTTTGCTAAAAGTTTGAATTATATTATACTTATATATTAAAAATATTTTCAAAAAAAAATAACTCAAAAATTTTATTCATATATAAAATTTCATCCTAAATTTTCTGATTTATAAAAAATCTATTATTATTTAATCTGGATTATCTGGATTAAAAAATAAAATTATAACTAGTTACAATGATTTGCAAACAATTACAGCTTCATATTTTAATTAAATTCCTTAATAAAGAAAAATTATTTAATGATATGAAAAGAATTATTTTTGAAAGTAAAAAAATCAATATTTTATTATTTTACAGGCCTAAAATCCTAAATCGGTTAAAAATTTAAGATCAAGCCGGTACTATAAATTTGTCTAGAGCTAGCGAAATGTTTGAATCATCAAAATCTTCTGGGAGTTGAAATCAGAAAAGTTACTTGAAATCTGATTTTTACTATATAAGTAATTATCACAATGCTATCTCATTTTAATCTCATGAAATTTCAACCACTCTGGATACCTATATATTTTCTATTCCATCCATTTCATTAAAAGAATTATGATCATTGGCAAAATCTGGTTCCTTTCAAAGCACCTTTACCTTCCGTAAAAATTCTCTTTTCATCATTCAGAAACCCCTCAGAAAGGCTAATAATGTGTTCCAATTACACGTATTACATATTATATTTTTGAATACAGTATATCTTCTATATTAAATATGGTTTTCGTATACTGCAGTTAATAATTTGCCAGCTACTTGGAATTCATCCCACCAAATCTATCTAAATTCACTAGTACTATAAACACCGACCAAGAACTTTTCAGTTCGCGTGATTTTTTGTTATGAGTAGATGTTATTAGTTAAACGATTAGTATATTGATTACGGATCTTTTCTCATTTGAAAATAATACAATTGTATTAAATAACTTGTTAAGAAAGCCTAGGCAAGCATATTTTTTTTTGTTGAATCTCTAACATTAATGCTTAATAGGTAGGTAGCACCCCTCAGAATAATTAAACTCATGGATGCAACATTATATTTCAATAATAAAGTTATCACCAAATCAAAAAAATAAAAAATAAAATTAAATACTAGGACCACTCTATTAATGATTATTGTTCTTCTTGCAACATTTTTGTCCAATCCCATGTCTTCCATTTTTTCATAAATTCTTGAATACGATCAGGATTATCTCTTGGATGTAGCTTCTTGGGTTTTCTCCATAGGTTTGGAGGTAAATCGCATATTCCAGCAAGAATTTCTTTTCCAAACCAAAAAGGAAAAGATTTCTCTTTTTCTATCACGTGTCCGTATCCTTTATCTAATCCAAACCAAACATGAAAATATGGTAATTCTTTAACCATTGACCTTCTAAAAGTTGCTTTAGATGTATCAATTAATTTTCTGTTCTGAGACCATTCTCCACTACTTTCAAGAATTCCTTCCTAAATATATTTTTTGCAAAGAAAATAAGTATAATCAATCATGATAATGGTCTATTGTAAGGACAGCGACATAGTAATATTTTAGGGAGTTGGTGTTTGCCAAGAATCTAATGTCACATATATTACCCTATAAGGAAATAATTGGTAAATTTGTCACTGCCCTAATGATAAAATAATTCAAACCTTGAAATATGCGGGGGCATCCTGAGCCAAGTCCCAAGGCATTGGTACACATTCTATAACAGTGTGGTTATTCCATTTCATATTAATAACTGTTTCCATAAAGATAATACCACGACCTTCATCGGCAAACATTTGGATTAAACTTTTCATAAAATTCTATATTTTTTTTTAAAGGAACAGTTTGAATTAACAATAATAATTAAAGGTTCAAAATACGTTTGAACGTACCCGAATTTCATCCCATACGTCATCATCACATTCTAAAGTTGAAGTAACGTGTTGAACAGGAACAATCAAACAATGGCCTTGAGTCATCTCTACTACATTTGGTAAGGCAAGGTATGCCCTATATCCTAGTGAAACCATGGCAACTTGAGGTTTCGAATTATCTTTTAAGCAATATATACAGTTATCCAAAACCTGCTTTGATTTTTGGAAATCTAATAACAAAAAAGTGATAAGTTCCCAATGATAAATCATTTATGTGATAAGCTGTTATATAAAGTTTTATATTACCCCTAATAGCAAATTCTTTCTTTTGATCAGAAGTTCTTGTTTGAACCTTCGCTATACTATCTGCCTTTTCATCCATATATTCTAAATCATCCTAATTGTAAAATATAAAAATATTTGATAAATATTTTTTTCTTTTAAAAAAAAAAAAAATATCATAGATGATAAGCTCAATACCTGGAACATGGAATCTTTCATAATCCTTCCTGCGATTTGTGAATCCATTGTATCCCTATTTCCAAATTTTTCCTGACGTATTAAGTCTTTTAATGTAAGATCGTCATCATCCTTGAAATAACGAATCCGATCACCACTCGCATCATGTGTATCAATCTATCGTATTCATAAAAGGTCAGGATTACTAACTTTTACAAAATTTACTCAATTTCATTCTTACCTTTTCTTTCTTACGACGTGATGATCCAGCATGCTGTGGAGATTCGGATTTTTGTCCTTGAAGATCATAAAGTCTACCTTTGCTATCCAACATAGACAACACTTCGACACGTGACTAAAAACACAAATTAATAAATTAAGATTTTCCAAATATATAATTTTAATTTAAAAGATTTCACGAACATACATCAGAATCTTCAGGACCAGCCTCTGCTTTTTTCTTGGCTTCTTCATATTGCTTCTCTAAATCATCCGCATTTGGCATATTCATCAATCTGGCTCGAATAGACTTTGCCTGTAGTTTATTTAACTCGGAAACGGATAAAGTGGGTTTGGGAGATGATACCGATATGACAGATGCGATAGTTGGCATACTCGTACTCGAAATATGCCTCATATCATCATGATTAGGTGGAGAAGGAGATCGTGACCGCTTTTTTGAATAGTTGCCACTGGAAGTAGATGAATAATATAAACTATCTTGATCTTGTGGTCTTTTAAAAGTTTCTCTACTAAACGGATTTCTAAAATTGGTAAATACAGTCTGAGAACTTGATTCGACTTGAATACCTACTCTACCACTTCCAGAAGGTATATAATCACTCTCATCTTGAATTAGACCCTCACGATCTATTGTATTAGAAGAAAAATTAAGCATTCGGGCAAAGACATTAAAAAAATCACGTAAATGACATACCTGATTTTTTACTCTTTATAGTTATTAGAAAGGAAATTAAAAGTTCGTAAGAGAAATAAATATAAAAGGAGCATAGAAGGGGATTGACTATTTACCTGTAAAGTATCTTTTAAAAACTCTATATCTAACATACGTTTGCCTAATTTTTCGTGATCTGATCCAGAAGAACTACCTTCACCACCTTTGCTATGATCTTCATGACGAGTTCGTTTCTTATGATGCTTCTTATGTTTCTTATGTTTACTTGACTTTTTCTTTTTGGAATCTTTGTCCTTTTTTGATTTCTTGGAAGGTTTGGAACTTGGATCGATATCCATAGCTAGAAGTTGGTTGAGGTGGGGTACAGAAATTTTCTGTCAATAAATTTGTTACGTCACAACCGTTCACATTGTTGCCCCTAGAATAAAATTAACCAAATTAACTAAATTAACTAAAATTAACTAATAATAAAATCTAAATTCGGACATAAGTTTTTGTTTTGGAATTCATTCTCAACCAAGATAATTAGGATAATTTATGATAAATTATTTGTTACATCATCCCTTTCTTTTACCTAAAATGGAAATCAGAATTCGCGTGTGAATCTTTTAATTTTTTTTAGGGGTAAATTTTATCACGAGGGTTAGATAAGAGAATTAATTATATATAAATACTATATGCTAAGATGTATTCATTTTTAAGAATTTTTTTTTTTTTCGACGGGTTTAAATTTTTGGGAATGATAACGATTTTTTTTTTTTTTGCATGATTGCATAAAAACGAATGAGACGATCATTTATTTATTTTTTGATTTATTTAATTTGAAAGAATTACTTTCACTTCAAATACGTGTTAGAGTTGATAGTAACATATATCTCATATTATTCGAATAAAGGAAAGGATTATCTCTGTATAAAAATTTTCATAATCAAAAATACGAGATTAATAATGGCATTCCCACAGATGAAAAAAAGGTTTTCATTGTTTAGTTCACCTCCTTTAGCACCACAAATTTTAAGTAATGCATCATCATTATTAACCACACCACAAGAGATACGTGAGGATAATAAACCTACATCTGATGAGATTCGTAAATCATTTGAAAATTTAGAAAAACTCGTTTTGACCGCGGATGAATATAGAGATTGTGTGAACAAATTAAGTAAAATTTCCAAAAATTTCAGTAAATGTTTAAAAGATTATGGTAATTGTAAAGGGATTGATAAATCTTATGGTACGTTTTCGATGGTTGGTCCATGTCTTAAAAAAAAAAAAAAAGATTAATTCTAATCTTTTTTTTTTTTTTTGAAATTAAAAAAAGTTCAATGCTTACAATTCATAGCGCAATTTTACGAGAATCACGCAGAAGTACAAGCCAAACTGGTGAGTCTCACGTTTATTATTCATTATATAAAAATAATACTTCTATCGTAAAAAGAATTATTAAGTTTGAATGCTTATATTTAACTAGTACAAAGCTTTGCAAAAAGAATTCGAAATTCTACAAAGATTCTGGGATAAATATTCAAAGAAAGTTGCAGTACGTAAAAATATTTTTTTATTTAGTATTGAAATTTTTTTAAAAATTTATAACAAACGCTGATAAATGAAAATAAAATAATAATATTTTTAAGAAAGATGAAAAAGCTCATTATGAACATGTTGGAGATTTAGACAAGCAAATCAAGAAGATTAATAAAGATTATGAAAAGAAAAGTAAAAAAGAAAGTAAAGCGTCTCACGAAGTGCGTAATTGAATTTAATTGAATTTAATTTACTTTTCACACCTCAATTATTTATTTATCATTAAAACTTCCGTTTTATATATCCAACAGAAATATGTCGCTTCGTTGACATCCATCAGTACAGACGTTGCACGGTTACGAACAGAATATGCAGAGGAAGTGATGAGACGAGAGAAGCATACTCATTCTGTGATATCGCAAATTATTTGCAGATTTACTGAAGGTCAATTCGCTTCATTTAATGATTCATTGAAGAAGTGTGGACCGAGTATTACCAAGGTGAAAGAATGGACGCCTTTTGCCGGACAAGACATACCTTTACCACTGGATCTTGATGGTTTTTTGGAAATGCAAACCATGACTTTACCTGAGAGTGATGATAATAATAATAATAATAATAATATTAATATTAATAAAATTAATAACGAACCAATTACTTCTAAAAAACTACCGCGAAGACCTTCGTATAGAATATCACAGTATTTAGCTTCAATATCAGAAATGCAAAAGGTTGCTATGAGACATAAAACTGCACCATCACCAACAGAAACTCCATCTATAGAATCTAATCCCGCTCCCATTATAAATGATATTAATGAATACGAGAACGAAACAATCACTCCCGCTCCCCCAATTGTTACCGAGGTTGCCAAATCATCTAATAGCGTCCCAAATTCAAAAAAAAAGCTTTCGAACGATAGTCATTTAACTCCAAATTTACTTTCTAGTTTATCAATAGGTATTCACGATAATGACAATCCGTTCTTTAGGGATGGCAGTAATATGATTATAAAAACCGGAGAAAAGGATTCCACAAAACTCGAAGAGAATCATGCAAGTTCATTAAGCATAACTAAAAGTAACGATAAAATATTATCATTAAAAAAAGATCAATTAAAGAATGAGAAAAATATTAATGGTTCGGATATCGATAATGAAAATGAGTTTAATGAACCCAATGATAAATACTATTCAAATGAATATCACGTTATGGACATTGAAAGAATAGCAAATGATAGTCCTGCACCAAGTTTTGAAACTGAAAGGCTTGTAAGATCATTTCCTATCGATTTGCCTGTGAGATCACAACCATCGACTCCAACAAATTCACCGAGTGAGAAATCAAGTGTATTTTATAATATGAAGACAGATCATTTATCAGGATATATACGCGATTTGGACTCTATAATAAATAGTAACACGGATCATCAAGGAACGCACCCGTACCATGATGAGATTCATGTGACATCGCCCACAACACATTTA